ATGGGGTGGTCATAATAATCTGGCCACTCAGTGTATGTACAAGACTTGAAGAATAGCTTTCTCAGTTCAGAATGACTTGTACAAACATTCCCAGAGAACTTTTGCACAAGTCATTCTGAATTGAGAAAGCTGGTTGGATGACCAGCAAAACCTCTTCAAGAAAAATACAGCGAGTCCAGTTACTTTGATGTATTTTTACAGATATACCATGACCTGGATGAATGAGAATCTTCTCAGACACACTGTATATAACGAATGTTGCTTTCCTCTAATACTCTAACTCTCTTTCCTTTTCACAGACCCCGGTTACAGATCCCGTTGTGTCCAGCGATGAGGTCATCTTTCCCCTCTCTGTATCATTAGATCGTCTGTCACCAACAACAGTTAAAGCAAAGGTAAACCTTAGAGTCGGCGACGTCCGCTATTACTGCTCCTCGTAGTCTGTTCTGTGTGAGCAGTACAACATTCTGTAGAAATAGGAGGTGTAATCGCGGTGTGCCAATGGTTAGCTGTGTGCAATCGCAGAAATGTGGTCGTTGGTTGAATTTCGAGCTGGGACACACAATTGTTATGAAATTTTTGCTTTTGCCATGTTGCCTCTGAGATCTGAAGTTTCCAAAACATTCTGCTAGGCCACAAACCATGTCTGTGGCGGCAGTAATGTCGCAGTGTATATAGGTTTCTATGCTTGTGCATGCACGTAGGGCTGCCTTCAAACCTGTGCATTCTGGTAACGGGTGGTAAAAGGCACTTTAACAATTTAGGGATGCACCGATACCGGTATTTTGGTATCGAGTACCGATATTTTTTTTCCAGGACTCGCCGATACCGGAAGTCTCATTAATGAATCCAGGCGGTGTGTAAAGACTCGCCACCCGGCTTCCCGATTAGCAGGGAAGCCGTCCCCATGCTTCTCGTCACTAGGTGATGAGAAAGCTTGGAGACGGCTTTCTGGCCAATCAGGAAGCCGGGCGCTGTGTAATGACGTGGTGAGGGAGCATGAAGCCGGTTTCCCAGCCAATCAGGAAGCCGGGCAGCGAGTCACCAATCCTGATTGGCCGGGAAGTCGTCTCCACAAGTGACGAGGGAGCATTGAGCCAGCTTCCTGGCCAGTCAGGAAGCCGGGCAGTGTGTAATGACTCGCTGCCCGGTTTCCTGTTACCGGAAGTATCAGGCTAGGCATTGGAGCATTTGGGCGAGTACGAGTACCCGGCCAAATACTCTGCATCGATACTAGTATCGGTGCATCCATATTTACAATATTGCCGCAATGTACAGCACACAGCTCAATACACATTAATGCATGAGTGTTGTAGCTGGTAAAGCAACCCGTGCACTCTGCTATAAGCCATATTGTGCAAGAGGAATGGCTGAAATAGAAGACTAGATGGGTTAAGCTGACCATACACTGGTCATTTCTTCCCATTCAGCCCTGTTGGGGGGATCCCTCTGCTGGGCTATTATAGTCTGGCAGCAACGGGTGTGACTATATCAGAATACCCCAACAGTGAGTGTAGCTGATTGGCTGCAGTTACTGTCGGCCAATGATTTCCAGACTAGCTCCTGCAACAAAAGTCAGTTAAAAAAACAAGGGGGTCCTGAGGGGGCCACACTCTGCTCGAGCAGTGTATGGTAAGATCTGTAAGAGGTAAAACGGTCCGCTGATTGGCTGAGATGGTTGAGAACACTTGGGCGGGTAATCTGACTTTTCTTTCTCTGTCTCTCAGATTGTAGTGACGGTCTGGAAGCGGGACACAGAACAACCGCGGGTGAAAGCTCTCGGGTATCGCTCCCTGCTGCTCAATTCTAACCCAGGTCAAATTTTCCGAGAAGAACAGGCCACATTCAAGGCTCAAGGTGACCTTTAGAACCCGCCTCCGGGAACATGTATAGAGAATAATGAAGTCTGTCGTAAAACGACCTGTCAAAGTAAACCCGTAGCAGATAGACCCGTGAAAATGAGCCCATTACAAATCAAACTGAGCATATCATAAAAAAAGCAGGAGTTACCAATCATTAAAATGGCAAGGCAAAACAATGAGCAGATCCAGGGAAGTAGGTAGCTGCGCTTAAAGGAGAACTATGAGGTGGGTGATTTTCACTCATCCTCGTAGTTCTAGCCGACCTGTGACAATGAGACTGTCACACGTCGACTCAATAGATCGGGAGGTGAGCGAACACATACCAGCGTTCGCTCACGTCTCGATCCTGTCCCTGCAGAGAGCCGTGACTGTCACTCGCAGCTCCCTGCAGGGATTCCCCCCTTCCCTTGTCCAATCCTCTAGCACTGACTGGAGGAACGGACGAGGGAGGGGGCGGGTACAGCTTGCTCTGCCTCTAGATAGGCAGAGCCAGCTGTCACTCACGCAGCTGGGTGTATCTCGACAGTAATGTCGGGATCTGTCCCGGCTGCGGCGGTTTCAGTATACCGCGAGTTGTAGCCCGCGGTATACTGAGCTTTGCGTAACGGGAGGACGCTAGTTTATGTCCGCCCGTGACCTTGAGGAGAACTATGGGGAAAAGCCCTAACCCCATAGTTCTCCTTTAAAGCAATCATAAACTGTTAAAATGGAGCAAATCCCCATCCATTTTGCCTTCAATGCCTCTCTATTGGTCAATGAGTCTGCCCATCTCATTAGAGAGGAACATAAGGCTGTGATGTGATGTCCTTGAGCTCCTTCGCTGGTGCTGACATCTTCACCTAGTCTTTCTCCAGGTTCAGGATCTTCACCCGTCTTGATTGGTTGCACCAGAATAATGTGCATGCGAATGGGAGTTCATTCATCCCTGCATGTGGCAGATTGCAAACAGACAGGTAAGAGCCTTTATTGCAAAGGAGACCTAATATGCCTCTTTTAAAAGCCCGTCTGCAAATCTTCACTTTACAATAGTGACCCTGTCAGGAAAAAATAATGCCCACCAAGCTACCTGCAAAACAAGAGAGCAAATACTTCCATCTCGTACTGCCGGAGCCACCGAACGCCGCTCCGTTCACAAATCTTCCTCTGAAGCTCCCTGAGATACCAGATGCCCTGCCGCACCCTGTGGTTTCTTCTGCCAGTCTTCCTGCATTGATATAGAGGGTAGCAGGATGAACCACCTAGTACAATTGGGGACCAGTGATCAACACCTCCGAAAGGGTCTGTTTCTCAGTAGATTTTAGTAAAGTGGCATTTAATTAGAGCTGCAGCTAACGATTATTTTCAAAATCGATTAGTTAGCCGAATATTAAGTTCGGTTAATCGGATAAGAAAACAAAATGGCTCCAGTGATGGACTACTAGTTTGTATTGAGATTGTAGTCCATCACAGGGAGCAAGCTTGGAGCGGTGGAAGTAAAAAAAAGTGTGGTATACTGAGTTTTGGGTAACGGGAGGACGCTAGTTTGTGTCCTCCTGTTACCCAAAGCTCAGTATACCGCGAGCTACAGCTCGCGGTATACTAAGGCTACCGCAGCCAGGGCGGATCCCGACAATTCTGTCTGGATCCACCCAGCTGCGTGAGTGACAACTGGCTCTGCCCATCCTCCGTCCGTTCCGCCAGTCAGCGCTGGAGTATCGGCAGGGGAGGGGGGAATCTCTGCAGGGAGCCGTGAGTGGCAGTCACGACTCTCTGCAGGGAGATGATCGAGAAGTGAGCGAGTGACGGTATGCGTTCGCTCACTTCCCGATCTATTGAGCCGACGTGCAAAAGTTTCATTGTCACACATCGGCTCGAACTATGAGGATGATTTTCACTCACCTCATAGTTCTCCTTTAAATTCCCACCACTGGCAGTGGTTGGTTCACCTTCCTGTATGTTGTGCGGGTTTCCTACTGTTACTCTGGTTTCTTTTTACACCCCAAAAACATTTTTGTAGATTATTTAGCATCCACCCAACATTGATTCTGGAATGTGCGTCTCAGTCTTTTATGTCTATGCCGGAGGCGTAAGACTTCGGCTGACAGTCCCGTGTTCTCTGTTCATTGATGTGGAAGTAGTCTGTACTGCACGCACAACATCTACATAGCTTTAAAGAGCCGCTGCACAATACGAGGCCTAAAGCTGTGACACTGCAATACGAAGAACACAGCTGGATAGAATTATTTTTGTACTAACCTACTAATGTCTGTCACTCTAAGATGGGAGAGGGGGGTGGGGGATAGAAAGGAAATCTGTAATAGTGACATCTGTTTAGGTGACAACTGTCTAAGAGGCAATCTTCACTTTGGAGAGATTTCTTCTTCCTGGTGTCTCTCTGGGACAGGAAGGCGAGGGGAAATCTCCCAATGCAAAAAAAACACCCATTCCCTGTTCTATTCAAACCTAAAAAAAAGGTTTGAGATTCTAACATACTTCAGAAGGATCATCTTTATGTGTATATTGAAGACTTTAACAGGCTATAGCTTCCCTTTAGCTCTTCCACTAATGGCTTTCCCTTTGATAACCGATAGTTGATCTTCCCACTCTCTGAGTGACTTCTCTTCTCTCTGACAGTGAGTACCCTCCTCACCGTGCTCCCACCTCCCACCCTCAGGTGCCGTCAGTTCAGCGTGTCCGGGAAACATCTTACAGCTCTGAAAGGTGAGATCTGGGAGAAGAGGGCACAGTGAGCAGGATGCAACACCTCCTCTCAGGACGACCTCTGTATTCGGGATGTACGGATACTCCCCAACTTCAACGCCAGTTACCTTCCTGTCATGCCGGACGGCTCCGTACTGCTGGTGGACAATGTCTGGTAAGAGAGAACCATAAGCTTACACTTTCATGCCATACAATTCACAATGCAGTATGTTAAAGAGGACCAGTCAAGAGTGGGCTCATACAAGAATCTAAATCCTGACTAGAGCTGCAGGTAACGATTATTTTCAAAATCGATTAGTTAGCCGATTATTACGTTCGATTAATCGGATAAAAAAAATAAAATACATTTTTAAAAATGGCTCCTGTGATGGGACTACTAGTTTGTATTGAGATTGTAGTCCATCACAGGAGCAAGCTTGGAGCGGTGGAAGTAAAAAAGAGAAAAAAAAGTGTGGTGTGCAATATAGTGAAATGGAAAGTGTAAAATTATACAGCAATCAATGCAGAATACCACCGGCTATAGAGAACTACAAATCCCAGCAATAGTACATTATACAGCGCAATGCAGGATACCACCAGCTATAGAGGAGTACAACAAATCCCAGCAATAGTACATTATACATACAGTGTACAATGTATTGCTGGGATTTGTATTGCTCTATAGCTGATGGTACATATACAGCACAATGTACCTTCAGCTATAGAGGACGACAAATCCCACTATCCCAGCAATACATTATAGAGCACCATATGGGGGGGGGAGTGCAGGCTTACCTGAGCAGTCTTCCAGCAACTTGCTTCTGAGATCCGGCCTGTCTATTGGCGGCTGTCATCCCCCCACACCTGCTCCTCCTTACTTCTTCTCCCCGCCTCCCTGTGCCAATCGTGGGCGGGTGGTGAGCGTGAGGCGGGGAGAAGGTGCGGCGTGAATGCGGGCTTGCAGCGGCGAGCGTGAGGTGGGGAGGAGGTGCGGCGCGCAGCGTGTGTGGAGCCGTGAACAGGGCCAACTGATCGGAAGACGATTAATCGATGATTGAAAACGTTGACAACTTTCTCAATCATCGATTTAGTCGATTAGTTGTTGCTGCTCTAATCTTGACCCCGGTTTACTAAAGGAGTAGAGCTCGTTCACTGTCAAATTAAAATCCTCACTTATCTTAGTGAATGAGACGAAGCAAAATTAAAGTTTACTTTGAGAAGAAAACCCAATCGTGTGCAAGGAAGCTTGCACTTGATTGGATGATTGAAGTCAGCACAACTTCACCTTGTTCACTAAGTAGGGATGTACCGGTATTTCGGTATCGAGTACGAGTACCGATATATTTTTTTCGGTACTCGCCGATACCGAGTACCGGAAGTTTAATGAGTCATGTAATGATTTGCCACCTGGCTTCCTGATTAGCAGGGAAGCCGTCCCCATGCTTCTCGTCACTAGGTGACGAGGAAGCATGGAGCTGGCTTTCTGGACAATCGGGAAGCCGGGCGCTGTGTAATAATGCGGCGCCCGGCTTCCTGATTGGCCGGGAAGCCGGCTCCGTGCTCCCTCATCATGAGGTGACGAGGGAGCATGAAGCCGGCTTCCCAACCAATCGGAAAGCTGGGCGCCACTTCATTACACGGCGCCTGGCTTCCTGATTGGCCAGCTTCCGTAAAGACGCGCTGCCCGGCTTCCTGATACCGGAAGTATCGGGCTAGGCAACGGAGCGTTTGGGCGAGTACTAGTATTGGTATCGGTGCATCGCTATCACTAAGTTAATGGAAGATTCACATAAGACTACAGTGTACAGCAATTCATTGCAAAGCTTTGAGCAGCTTTCACAAAGCCTGTATATAACCCTTCAGCTGTAATTATAAATACATTGCGATGTTACTGCTGACTGTCACTTCATACGAGGTGCTCGCAGGTTTCTGCAATCTTCAGCACTTTGTGAAACTTGTTGAAAGCCTAATAGCAGCTTTTTAAAGTGCAGGTGTGTCCAGAACATGGGTAGTAATGGCAAGCAGTATTCCACCTTTGCCAAAATGTAACAATTGCACTCACTGCCTGGAGAATCCTAGTTAGTCAGGTTGAAAAAAGACACAAGTGCACTGAGTTCAACCTATAGAGATAAGAGAAGAAAAACCTAAAACAGAACGCTATTCCCATAGTTACCCACTGTTGATCCAAAGGCGGGTTTTCCTGGACCAGTATTACAACTAGGGATGCACCAATACCTGGAAGCCGGCTCCATGTTGTTTGGCCGACTCAATTGTGATTGGCCAGGAAACCGGTTTGCCAGCCAATCAGCATGAAGCCAACTTCTTTGCCAATCAGCAAGCCGGGCGGCGAGTAATGACACGGCTTCTTGATTGGCCAGGAAGCCGGCCCCATGCTGATTGGTTGGGAAGCCGGCTTCC